GCAGGTACTATAGCATTTGTGTGCAACCGCTTGGTCGACATATGCATGACACGACACAATGCATGATCGATATTGTTTCTCTTGTCCCTCATGCGATCCATGTCACGCTGCGCCTGTCTCGTTTACGTTCGGTCAGGCAAGAGAAGAAATGGAATACGCCGAGGAAAGCAAGGAAACAACCTACTTCGACGAAGAAGCGGCGGCGGCTAAGGAGGCTGTTGAAGGTGGAGAACACCGAATTTCTGAAAATCACTATCCAGTCTTTGATAGAGGGAATATCAGAAACGTATGTGGACTTCCGCTCGGGTCCGGCCACGTAGGGGGCGATAGGAGGAGTCTCGTGCATCCCCACGCCGAGACTTCAGTCGTTGACGGCCGACAACAGAGAGAAACTGCAAGAGGTTTGAGGTTCAGGCTGAGTGCAGAATCTTCACGACTCTCTCGGGGTCAATGTCTAGTGTTGGCATTTCCGATCAGAGGCATCCTCTGGGCCCTTGTTAAGGGCGCAGCGTTGATTGGTTCTAGTATAGGCTACTCCACGACGTAGCATGGATATTGCACGCCAGCCAGAGGCTGTTCGTTAGTCCATGGGCGGAAACTAAACTGGAGTTCTTTGCTGAAGGAGCTAGCGTATGTTGTGGCCCCGCTGTGCGGTGGGCGCGATACATTACCGATGCATCAGTAGGTACTGCCTTCCTGTTAGGAGTAGAGACCTTGGCAAAGTAGGCGCCCCTCCGCCCGTTGTATTTCGCGGGGCCCGGCCTCAGTTCGTCGCTCCGATTTCCCTCCCATCCCCCGGGTTTCAAATCCGGGATATTTCTCCTCTCCTCCGCGCGTGGGAAACTCGTCCGCCGTTTATCAGAGGCGGTGGCGCTATTCGAGGAGGTACTGGGATCCGTGGAGGAGAAGAAGCGAACGGAAATCATGAGATCAAGGTGCGCGGCCGGGAATAGTTTTGGACCGTTTGATGGACCAAAGCGTATCTCGGGCTGGTGGTTGGTCGTGCACTGTAATTATTCTAGAGACTGCAGTGTTGGTCTGGGAAAAAGAAAGACTTCACTTGGGGCGATATCGGTTCAGGGGGGCAGTACAATGACCATTTCCACTCCGTGTTTTTTGCAGCTTGTATGTCGGACGCATCGTACGAACTGGTCTTAACGCTCGTGCAGCCTTTCACGTGCTGGCAGCACGAGACTGTATACGAAAAACACCCCTCTCACTTTCCGTCTGCAGAGAACATCGCAGTCAGCCGCCTTTCTGCGGCCCGCTTGTATTGTCGTAACGAACGCACCGTGACGTGCTGCCACTCCCTGCCTCCCCACACGTCGTGCCGCACAGTGGCCTGCGAGTCGAGCAGCTGAAGGCGGAGCTCGACCAATTGTTGATATCTGATGACCACTGATGGAACAGGGCATGGGAATACCTACGGGCCCCGCGGCTTTCAGATTTTGACCAAATGAGTCGCATCATCGCCGTTGGCGAAGCCGCCAGCCTTTGGCCGGAGCGAGACGAAGACCGACGTCGATACACCTGCTGGTGCTAGGGGTAGAGCCGTGCCTGTTGTTCCTTGTAGTAGGCGGAAAGGGCAGAGATGTTTCACTTGCAGTCTTTCCTGACTTGTTTCTGTATAGCCCTCTTGGGATGTAGTCCTTTGTTGTGCAAGGGGAGGATTCCTCGCTCTGCCACTTTTTCCCGAGGTTGATCGATGGGAAAATCGGAACATGATACCGCCATCGCACGCTTTTTCTATCAAGTTGATGATGTTACTGTTCAAGGGTATTGGACATGGGCGGGGTTGGTTATCGATTAGGCCTCAGTCGTCGGTGCTTTTCCAGGTTTTCGTTTTTACAGAGTACATGAATCCAGGGAACGGCATTCATTCTGTTCAAACGCTCAAACCACACCATGGGGTGGACGCTTGGCTGTCACGCCATCGATGTGCGTGTTGGCGATGTTCCATTCCACATTGTCATTCGACCCGAAACTTCGCCAAGCGTCGAACCGTCGCGCGTGCCTGTTCTGCAAGTCGCATCGTTCGGATGCCGACTTGCCGCGCCGACAAGACCCTCACTTTTTATTTGCGACCCTCGGCGAAATGGCGCATTCATTCCCGACCTTTTTTCCTGTACCTTCTCGAGGTAAATCACGAACGTTTTCTGCTCTGTCGAAAACAAGCTCCTGCTTGCTGTTCACGTCGGTTGCGCGTGGAGTCGGGGCCGTAGACAAACTTCATCAATGCGTGGGCGAGATCACGCGCCTTGTTTGGTCGCCACTGTTGTTTACGATGTCGTTTAGGATCCACCTTCCCTGAGCCGTTTCGGGAACAAGCGGACGGAAAGTCAACTTGTTCACAGAACAAGTCTCAACTTCGAGTCCATGACTTTAAGCTACTGCCTAGACCGACTTCGACTCAGCGACTACCGATTCTGGGGAAAACTAGCCCCCCTTTGCTGCTGACGGTGCCGCCTACGCCGCTGACGGCAGTAGCTGATCGTGACTCTTCCAACGCGAGCGACGGTGCCTCTTGTACGTCTGCTCCCTGTCCCTCCCAGCCTTGCGAGCCGTAGAGAACCCTTTTGCATGTCAATCGCAACGGCTCGGCCATCTCGGTGTCCATTCGGCCGGACATCTCCATCGCATTGATCGCCCCCAACGCGGCCTCTGCGATGAACTGGCGGTCCGTCGGGTCACTCAACTGTGGAGAACAAGATTTCGAGCGACACTAGGTTCTCAGACGCCAAATGAAACCTTGGATGGGGTGGGGGCTCGGCAACGTCGACAGTCGTTTGACGTGATCTTCAATTCCCCATATTGACGGTTGCGTGGCAGGAATTTCAGAGCCTATTTCGAGCAACGTTTGCGACAGGAAACACCGTGATTTCTCGTTCGGGAGGAGGGGAGGGCCACATGATACCGAGTTGACACTTTCCGGGCGCTGTAGTCTCGCCCGTGTCCCGGTTAAAAGCGCAGCTGAACTCCCTCGGCAATTTGACACTGGTGGCTGCTTCCACCGCCCGTAGCCTAGCCTTACCTTACCCGTAACAGGATTCCCGAGGAACCCTGCTGCCCCCAGTTCTTGACCATTCTTTATCCGTGCCTCGTGTCTCTCCCCGTTGTCCCATGTGCTCACGTAGCACTCAACTGCGTCGTACACATATCGTGCCGTCGCCGACTTCCGTGCAGGCTGCTTCGGGAACACGAACACGAGAAGGCCGTGCGGGATGTTGTGAGACGGCTACAACAATAGGGATGTGCGATTGCCTCGTGGCCACCGTTGCCGCTACATTTGTCAGCAGATCAGACCAGCCCATCTCCTTTCGATTCAACAATAAGACAGATACTTTTTCAGCAGGAAGGTCGTTCCTGCAGCACTCCCCCAGGTACGGCCGGACGATTTTACCTTGGCGGAGAATGCCGATTCGACTTGGCAATGCTGGTATGGGCAAGAAGCGCAGAGAGCCTCTAGGCGGCACCACCCGCGCTTTTGGTGGCGTTGGAGACTGGCGCTGTCGTGGGCCAAGATGTAGAACCTTCCAGAGCTTTCGCAAAGCGATGAATGATACATGCGTGTGTCCATATGCACAATAGCGAAATAGCGGGATGGAAATCCTTCAGATTCTACCCACCCAGTCATTCGTCGTCAGAATACATACGGTTGGATAGTACTGAAGATGATTGAGGTCGTGTCGTCGACATACCACCATTGATGTGATCATTAGGTGTCAACGTACACGAGAGTCGCCCGGCCTTGACGCAGCCCGCCGAAAGCACGTCAAGTAAGTATCTCGACTTGAACTAATCACAGTCGGACTCGTCGAACAAAAGGGATGCGACTTCCAAGCTCATGCCTTGGGGGAAAGTATGTGGTACACTTCGCCTTTTGGTCCCCTGCGCACGCCCGAACACACAGTCAAACCGGCACATACCGGTACCATGTCCTTCATTGGTACGTTTCGTCGAGACATCGAGTAAACCGCAGAACTTGCCATTTGCATCCCACCCTTGCTTCATCACAGGTAACGTTGTCGGGCTTTCACTCGTCGTATTTACATTCCCAGTTTCATTCCTCACTTTTGCACGAAGAAGGGCACCGATCGCCCGGCAGCTTTACGCCTCCTTGAGTCCGCCAGGGGCACGCAGAGCATGTCTACCCAGACGTACTTAACGCTCAACGGGGCATCCTCTAGGCAAGCTTTCATGTGCCGCAGCTTGGTGCGATCGGGCGTGTCCGGATGAGGTCCACCAAGAAGCTTTGGTTTCGGCGGGCACTGAATTTTTGCAAGAGCGCGAGAGGCGTAAAGTCGCGTAGCAAGGTTCACTTCTTGTGCGGTGAACAACCTTAGAAGGGTAGATGAATGTGTGACTTGGCTTTGTGGGACTGTAAACTATCTGGCGTCGATGATACACGAGATGCCCACCTTCTCTGCGTTCATTAAATCACACCTGGTTAGGCGGCAGATCCCAGCAGTGGGAGAAAAATGCCACCTCCTTCCTATGCACGACGACCTTGCGTGCTTTCGCTTCCGTAAAGACGTGGCATTCATACGGGACCACAGTGGTCGCATGACGAACCAAGCAAGGGCGCACCGCGGTGTGGCCCGGAAAATCTTGCAAGTTTTGGAACGCCTGCGACAAGTGGATGATGGAGGAGGGGCATGGGGCAGGTCAGGCACAACGGCAGTACGAAGGGCTTTAGGTATAGAGTACCGCAGGAGGGGAGGGTAGAGAGGGGCTCTTCTGTGTGACCACGGGTCGGAGTAAACGGCACCAGTGCTGTGAGTGCTGATTTGAAGTGAAGACAAAAATATATATATATATGGATGTGGGCCCACAAACAGTCTCCCGCTGGAGCGCCGGCAAAGGTTAAGACAACCACAAGACAATGGCAGTGAAAACAGATAAACATTCTGAATCGAGAGGGAGTCTGGTCATGAGTGAGACAATCGGTTGTTCTTCGAAACGCCGAAGTGTCAACAACCTTCCTAAGGTATCCCGTTTTCCTACAACGCGGCATCCCTCGGTTCATTGCCATATATTCGGGAAACACCAACCAAATCGTGCTCCCCACTTCTCCCCGACAAAAATATCAATGTCACAGTCACAGGCCTGTTAGCAGCCTTTGCTGTAGTTTGAGCATTTCCGCTTTTCCCACGTGCCTTCCGCGGCATCAAAAACCACTCGTCCAACTTCGAACCGAGCATGGCCGCCTCCGTGTCTTCCAGCACTGGCTGATCCGCGCGAACGTTGCAATTCACTCCGGACGCCAGCTGGTCGGGAATAGGACCTCGGAGCGAGGGGTTCTCCTCGAGGCGGAGAGAGCGCAGTCCAGTTAAGCAGCCCAGGGATTCGGGGACCTGAGGGAGAACACGGTTAGATATATAAGTCGAACGCCCACAGATGTGGTCGCAGGATTTGGAGATGCCATGACAGCTTCGAGATGCTATGACAGCTCTGAGTTCGAGCAGTCAAGAGACTACTGAACAATAGTACGAGTAGCACAGCTTTTGACGTGTGAATGTGAACAAAGACGACGAACACCGATACAATAAAGGAAAATATTTCAGAATTCATCTCGTGCGCGTCGGCTTTTCCCGGGTGCCGACTGCCCACTGGAAAGCCAGTTTCCAAGGAACAGGAAGAAGCACTAGTACTGTAGTCAAGTACGCCATGCTCCACCCCGGGTTCTTGAAACAGAAAAGAGTCTGCTGAACAATTCTGGGTACATACCCTGCCCGAGAGATTGTTGTCCCGAACTGCGAGTGCCCATAACCGATCCAGCTGCCCTAGCGTCGAAGGTAGATACCCGCTGAAACAATTACACTTGGGACAATATCGAAAATGAAGCAACAGCGTACCGAAGGAATAAAGAAGAGATCAGTTGTGTTATTTGGCCGTAGTATAAATGAGTGTGGAGTCTTACCTCTATGCCACCAACAATGCAACCCCAGCGATCACTCTGATTATTGTGTGACAGCTAGACCTCAGTACACAAGCAAACCTGTAAATGAAGAACTTCGAGGCGGGCCAAGTTGCCCAGCGCCGCAGGTACAATCCCATGAAAAGTGTTGCCATCGAGTCGCAGAATTTCCAACGAGCTCAGCCTTCCCAGCCCCCCTCCGTCGTCTCCTTCCAGGATCCCGGAGAGGCCACACCTAGACAAGGACAGTACCCTCAGGGAGACGCAGCTTCCAATGTCGGGTGGAAGGCCGCCTTCCAGCTTGTTGTGAGACAAATCCAGGGTCTCCAAAGAGGTGAGGCTTCCTATTTCCTCGGGAACATGCCCAGTGAACTTGTTGTGGCAAAGATTCAAGTAGGAGAGCGGAGAAGCAGACACTACCGCTGCCGCAGACTCACTCCTTTTCCTCCTGCTGTTCCTTCCTTGTCCATCAGATTGAGAGCCGGATCTTGATCCTCTCCGCACCCTGCCTCCCGCAGAGTGAGAAGAAAGGGGGGAAACCGGGAGGTCCCCTTCGAAGGCGTTGTGGCCGAGATTGAGGTAGACCAAAGATGAAGAGAGCGTGCTCAAGATATGAGGGTGTATCTTCCCTGCGAGCTAGAAAAAATGGGGCGGTTGTTTACGGCATCAGTATGTTCTCCTGGGCGCCGAACCGACGAAGGGGGTGATGAGTTTGTGTCATTGCATGTGTTAAAGGTTGTGTGCAGCAATCACATATGGATCGTCTCCGAGCTGGAAAAATGGTGTTCCGAGTGCTGCACGAGATTGGGAACGTTCAGAGCCATGCTCTGTAAATCGCCTTCTCGTACTTTATTTTGATTACAAAGCGCCTGCAAAGTCAGCTTTCCCGAATTATCGAGAATAAACTTACCTTGTTGCGTGACAAATCAAGACTCTGCAGGTCTTCCAATTTGCTCAGAGGTTCGGGAATACCTCCGACAACTTGGTTTTCTCTGTAAAACAACGGAGATGACAGCAATATGTAGATGGAACGAGGCGTTCGCTTCAGCATTGCTACGTTCAAGAGCCAGGCAAGTGCAACCACATGCAGCAAATCACCTTACCTCCGCCTACGTGTGGTGGCATTGCGTAGGCTCTTGAGTTTTCGTTTTCCTGGTGTTGGTCGGGACGTCACCGTTGTTGCCAGTGTTGTTGTTGCTGTTGTGGTGGTTGTGGTGGCGGTGGTGGTGGTGATGTATTCGAGCAAACAATGGTCATGATACTTCTACGCATATCCTCCTCCTTGGCAGGAGTCCTGCTGATATGGGTACGATTCGCTGTGGCCGCCGGTCGACCCAAACAAAAAGCCCAGAAACGCCCAGCGAAACTAAAAGTGCTGTAAGACTGAATGGCAGTACCACAGTTTACGAATACACTTACCCCAGCCAAAGCTCTCGAAGATTGGTCATTTCACCCAGGCTTTCGGGAATGTGGCCTTGAAGGGCATTCGAGGTCAAGTCCAGCACCTGTATGACCAACGACCAGACGTTACGGGGGGGGGCGTACTCATGTTTTGTATGCCTCAGCGAGTAGACCATTGACCACCCGCCGGGGTTGGGGGACTTATCGTTGATCATGACATGAGTCGCTAGCAGAGCGTAGAGAGTGAAAACGGCATTGCAGCTGAAACCGCACCCTGCCTAGGGGCACGTGTGTCAGTATGAGTCGGCCAACGACGATGCCTTCGACGGTTTGCGTTGTTATTCGGGTATTACGGCAAGTAGGACGGCCGCGACTAGAGGTTGGTCTTGGCATGCCTTGATTCATTGATTCTGCAATTGTCATTCTGCTCAACGAGCTTGGCTGTCGTGTGAGCGTTGTAGAGAGAGTGTACGTTAGATAGAGCACCCACTCAAACCCGTGTACCTGGAGTGACTGCATGTTCACCAACATGGGTGAAATTTTTCCCGCAAGCCTATTCTCTCGTAAGCGCAGCTCGACGAGGAAGTGCAGCGAAGCCAGCTCTCTGGGGATTGCACCGTTCAGCTAATATTTCCCCGCGCAGGTTACCAACGACAGAGGGGCGTTGAGGGACGAAGTTATCCACCGGCTACGCTACGTGTGGTTACCCAAACAGTCGGAAGTAGGGACTGGGTATCTGTATGAGGGAGACCAACAGCTGCATGTCGGATTCCTCAACTGCGGCCCTACGACATGGGTGGAAAAGCGAGAGGTAGTCCGGGATGAAGTCTGAACTATGAAAGAACGAAGAATATGACTCCCATTTCCTTTGAGCATTTCCTACTCCTGTTCAAGCTGTCGGCAACGGGGACGAGATCCAGCGCCTTGCCTTGTTTGCGCCTAGGCTAAGCTTGCGGAGGGAGGTCATGGTGCCGATCTTCATCGGGATTGTTCCTGTGAGCTTGTTCCATGCGAAATCGAGAACTGTAAGACTGGTGAGGCGGGTCAACGAGCCCGGTATTCGTCCTGTCAAGCTGTTGTGGTCCAGCTTGAGCGAGACCAACCGTTTGAGATCACCGATGGTGTCGGGGATGGCACCTATGGGAAGTATTGTGTAAAGAGAAATCCACACAATTCCCCCCAGGAAGGGGCACGAAAAGAGCAAGCACGGAATATGTCTGAGACAGAATGTGGGAGGGTGGTGTAGAGACTGACTTTCAAACGAAAGGCCGATCGCCAACAGTTTCGCTCCTTTTGCTACACACAAACCTTCGACATCCATCACGGGGCCCTTTACTAATGTTTCTCCATCCCCAAAAACCGCTGCTGTCTTGACGATCCTCGAGATAACGCCGGGATAAAGCAGCAGCGTCATCATCCGCAGAGTGCACCAAAGTCTGCTCTTTCGGAATGCAGTGTACGCCTGGGGCAGAAGAAGGGCATATCTGCTGTGTGCTAGGGACAAACCAATTCCAGGGCCTTCCAACTGCTAGCCCTTTACCTACAGTATCAGTCAGGTTGCTGTAGACCACCTTCCCGAAAGTACGAAACGGATATCCTACTGCGATGCTGTGTTTATAGCGGCGTATTTGATGGGCTCTCTCACCGGCAAAGAGGTTCGAGGTGGCGTGCAGGTACTCGAGGTTCGATATCTCGAAGAGCGCGGCTGGAAGCTCTCCCGAGAGGTGCCTGTTGGTAACGTTGAGCGCGATGATTCTGTCATCACTGTCAACTGAAACGCCGCTCCACTCCGACCTGCCCGAAAGTTCTTCGTGGTCACCGGAATCAGATCTTTCGAGAATCGCCCGAAGATTTTCGCGATCTAGCTTGCTGGGGTCAATCTTCGGGCGTCGAATCTGGTGGACCGAAAAGCATCAGGGTGATGGCGGGAACACGTCAAATTGAAGAGAGCTACGATATATGGTGCCGTGGATCGGAAGACGGGCTGCAATCTCGAAGGAGCGTTCAAACCAATTTGCACACCGGCGCGCCTAGTGTGTCCGAGTCCGAGTGCGAATACATAGACTATGACGATCGCTGTTCGATGAGCAACGCAACGGATGGAGACGTTGTGGGGTTCGTCGGCATACGTACAGCTCTCTCACATTTTCGATTTCCTCAAGCAGGTACACCAAATGCTGCTTATCCTCCACCCCTGCACGAGCTAGGGCATCTTGGAGTTGATCTAATGGCAGACTCGTCAGCATGTGTCCATCAATGCCAAAATCGATGGACGCCTGACGGTGCTCCGGGGGCGCTAAATCTGCGAGTTCCACAACGCTTAGAGCACCAAGCTCCTCTAGGGACATGGCGACACCCATATTTTCCTCTCAAGGTCACCCCCCTATGGCGCCGCCCGATGCCTACACACGCCTGCGCACCGGCGCACATACGCCCGTCGTGTGTGCTCTGGCTAGCTCTGGTCTCTCTCGCTCAAGTTCTGCGAACCGGCAGCTACTATGCCGCAAGAACCTAAGGGCACCATGCAACTTCTCTGATGCATACGTGCGTCTCCCCCAATCCAGTGGCGTATGTTCCAGCCACGCGTGTTGGCGCCTATCAGGAAAGCAAAAAAAAAAGTACACATAAAAAATAACTCCGCGGGTTTCAGCGTTTCAGCGGGGAATGCATAAAATATCCCCCCGCGTTGGCGCCCCGAGGGCCACCACTGCTACCACCTTTTCACCAGCGCAGTGCTCCACACCAACACCTCGGATCGGCACGAAACTTGGCGGCAACTTCGATCAAGTTGTAAAATACACCGGTGAGAGGTTCAATGGCATTTTTAATTTATGTAGGAAAGGTGGAGAAAGCCGGGGGTGCATGACTTGAGGGCGAGGGCACAAGAGCAAAGTTTCGGGCTACGGTGACACCGGGTTTGCCAGGCAACTTTCAGCCAATTGGGTTACCATCAAAACATGCTCTGCAGCAGCATTTGAAGTGGCAGTTGACCGGGTCCATAGATGAAGATTGAATAAAGATGTGCACGATTTGGGATCAGCACTGCAGCGCGTGAAATCGGTGTAGCAGATGTGCCTCCAAAAACGCGGCGGAACTTGCCAGAAAGCGGGTTGGGTTGCACCGCTGCTAGCCGGTACAGCAGGTTAAGGGGCCCCCGTGCCTCTCTTGCACTGCCTGTTTAGCCATGAAAGTAACAGGATGCTGTATGTGTGCCCTTGGTTCACTTTCCCTCACATGAAGCTCCCAAATTAACACGTACAATGTTGCTGCCGTCTCTTTTGTCGGACAGGGTGATGTCGGAGGAATGCTGCAGCGCATGCCGGCAACCGACGGCAAGAGTTGACGTTCGCTGCATGAGAGAAAGGACCGGGGGTAATGTCCGGGCATTCGAGGGCCGAAATGGACGTGCGCTCCTGAACCTGTCAAGCAGCTAAAACGCCGGTGTTTTGATCGCTACTGCACTTCGCCCACGGCGTTGGAGGCTTTGTTGGGTGTTGTTAGCATCAGCGGGTGTGTGCTGGACATGTGCGGGGGGCCGGGTGATGCTGTAGTGACTCGCCTTCGAGACACGTGCCAAGTACTCACGAACGATGTATGACCGAGGTGAGGGGATGCTGCGCGTTTTTTTTGTGTGCTTGGGGTGAGGTATGCGAACTAGATAGCCACCCGTCCTGCCATCCATAGCGCTGGGTGTTCTAGCGCAACGTACCCTTGAACTACCCAACACGGAATGACGTAACTCGTAGGCGCATCATGAACGCTGTTTGCCTCATGGTGTGGTCCGTCGCAAGTATGCTAGCTACAGGCATGTACATCCGGCTAGGCGAGGAACAGTGAATCTGTTTTCAATGCTGCTAAGTTACATAGGACGGACCTAGTTGTGCAATCTACTCCAAGCTTTACGTGCCTTCTTTCGTAGGTCCCGTCGTAGGTAGGNCGCTGCTGAGTTACATACGACGGACCTAGTTGTATAATCTGCTCTAAGCTTTACGTGCCTTCGTTCGTAGGTCCCGTCGTAGGTAGGCTCGCACCAGCGGACGCTCATTGTTTGTGCGGCCCTTTTTTGTCGTCGAAGTTTGGCTCTGTAAAACGAAACGAGTGCATCGTCGTTTGAATCCTCCATAGTTCCAATAGGCCGCATACCGAGTGTACTCACGGCACAGATGTTGCTTTCGGTACACGCACATGGAGCAACTCAAGCTTGACTGTATCCGATTTTCGCCGAAGCATGTCGGGGAAATTCGTAGTCTGCAAGTGACCGACAGTGACGGAGGCATTTTTTTTTTCTTTGGTATGCCCAAAGTCTTTGGTGTTGTTGTAACCTTAGAAAACCCTTTTTCCTAAAACAAAAAAATGACAGTGTTGTTTTATATTCTGACGCCCTTTGCATCCCACATGTTCGCTTTCCTGTTTTTTGTTTTAAGGTTGTCTCCGGACACGAACCTGGACGCGAGCTCGGCGTCATTTGCGGACGACTACCTCGCAGCACACAACGGACAACAACCCGACTGGGTCGTGTCGAGCCCCCCGTACGAGGGCGCGCTGGCCTTTGTCAAGGCGGCGTTGACGGTGGCGAAGGAAGGCGTGGCGCTGAAATTGCCGCTGTCGTTTCTGGAACCCTGTGCCGACCGAGCAGTTTGGCTTCAGGCGAACCCCCCGGCGCTATGCATGATGATGAGCAGGGCCCGGTACCAACCCGCCCTCGTAAGGGTTGGCGAATTTCGGGGTGTGTGGTACCCTCCTGGTAGTGGCTCTAGTAGTAGTGATAGCACGAAGCTTTTATTTCTTCCTAGTTAGAATGGGATGTTGAGAGTCCGGGAGGACGAAATCGCGCATGGATTTTTTTTTTGTGTGTTACGCTTACAATTACGTCACTCTTCAGCTAACCTTAGGTGTCAGAGGGCGCGCTCTTGCGGTAGACCCCACAAGCCGATGTTCCGACATTGAACGGTAGTGCGCATGAGCACCTCGTGAGTGCGATAGGAATGAGGGAAATGTACCACTGCTGCGACTGCGCGATTTTCCGGCAACACGTACCCGACTCGAGTNATGTTGAGAGTCCGGGAGGACGAAATCGCGCATGGATTTTTTTTTTGTGTGTTACGCTTACAATTACGTCACTCTTCAGCTAACCTTAGGTGTCAGAGGGCGCGCTCTTGCGGTAGACCCCACAAGCCGATGTTCCGACATTGAACGGTAGTGCGCATGAGCACCTCGTGAGTGCGATAGGAATGAGGGAAATGTACCACTGCTGCGACTGCGCGATTTTCCGGCAACACGTACCCGACTCGAGTATATAGGGGTCAGTGTCTGTCGTTGTTGGGTGGCGAGGACGCTCAAGTTCGTGTGCCGGCGTTTCTCATTGACCTTTTCGGCAGCTTCCCTTTCTGGGTTCGCAGCGCACGGCGCGCTGGCCGCGGCTTTGGAGCGTGTGTGCCTATTTTCGTTTTGTGCGTACTACCAAAAGCAGTTGTACCGGGTGGCGTCATGTGAAGAACTGCCCCAAATATTTGTTTGCAGTGCTTCGGGATCTGCGTCCTGTTGTTGACATATTTGCAGCAAGGGATACAACGAAATATTATCAATTATCAAACGGACATCTCCTTAACCGGCGCTGCCATATTATCGGTCGACAACATCACCCGCTGCTGCGTACCCCCGCCCAACCCTTCGTTGGCGACTTGTTCCTCGTACTCTCGCGCATCCACTTCGGAGAATCCACACACACCGGGGTGCACCCCAAACGACGAATGCCCTTCTTGGTCGAAGCCACCCAAACGTTCCACGATCGGCGATTCTTCATCTTCATCAGACTCGGACTCGCTGCACATCATCATCGTCGGGCAGTACCTCCTCAGGAGTAGACCCTCGCTGCACCCTGGGTAACGTGCTTTGTTCCTCAAGGCATGCAAGGTTGCACTTGCACAACTGTGAACAACGACCTTGACCACCCCTTTGCATGCAAACGCAGCCCCTACATTGACTCTTCCCCCTCTCGGATGAACATGTGCACGACACGATGTGAATTCCTACACCCGCCCAGAGGGTCACGCAACAACAGCAAAGCCCCCCCTTCGCACTCCGGATTCGCAATGTACCCCTTGCCGTTCCAGTCGGGAATTTGCATCGGATACCTGGCGACACATTTTCGGAAGGGACGGGCACAATCGAGAGCCAATACTCCACCACCCATTCCATGCGTAGCACGCAGTTGTTAATAACGTCGTAATTTAGGGCAGCAGCCTTGATGTCCCTCTTCCCAAAACAGTGTTCGGTCGTGCGCTCGCTGATGGCCTGGACCCATGGCCCTACGTCATCGACCTGCCCTTCTAGTATTCCGACCTTGCCTGGCGTCCCGCAAGGACGTTCACAGAGAGTTTGCGATGTCTTGTAAAGTACGCTAGCGAGACAAAATTCCCGATTTCCTCTTTGGCCTGGTCTACCCCAGACACCGACCCCCCCTCACGTTACTCGGAACCCAGCGGTAGAACAAAATTGTGGTTGCCGGCATCCTTCAACGCGTCGTAGTATGCTTGGGACATACTCGATGCCGTCAAGCCACTAAGCGTTGGAGTAAAGTCAGTCCCGTTAAGAACGTATGCGTAGATTATCGGAAGCACCCTCTGCAAGTTGGTGAACGAAGTTGGCCAATCTCGCATTGCCGTTAGATCTTGGAAAAGCTTCAGGACGTCGATGCAGTGGACATTGGTGTTACCGGTCACCCCGCTCTGTTGTCGCACGATGATATGCACATCCCGAGTCGACGGATGCACGGCGTACGCCAGGAGAGCTGCGNGACGTCGATGCAGTGGACATTGGTGTTACCGGTCACCCCGCTCTGTTGTCGCACGATGATATGCACATCCCGAGTCGACGGATGCACGGCGTACGCCAGGAGAACTGCGATCCAAACATCGGTGTCAACCGAAAATACATGGTTCATGCAAGTAGGGGTGCATGTTGCTGTCTGAGTCTTCAAACATGCAAGCGCGATATCTCAGCCTGGGACGGACACTGACACCATATGAGCGGACGACGCGAGAAGTCTTCCGAACGGCTAGATGTAACACAACTGACGTTCAAATTCGGAGTAGATGTTAGAAATTCCTTTATGAAGAATCCAGATATGATGGGCCAACATGTGCCACCGTAGCAGGACTCACCTCCACTATCACGGGATCTTCGCTTGTAGGCACCACCACCCCACCCTCTCGTACCTCCCTCCCCCTGCCCTCTGCTCTCTTTGTTGTTCTTCCCCGCCATGTAGGCGTGGTGGAGAGCCTGTCGTACGATCGCGCACAAATGGTGTGGGCGCCGAAAAAAATATGACATCAGTGCAGAGCCTGTCGCAAGAACGAATCCCTCCACGCCGTACGTCTCGTTGCATGCATCTGTCGTTGTTACTCTATTTGCAATCATCCGGTAAAATTTACTCTACGAAGCTCTTAGTAGATAAGGTTGTCCGCTGAGAAAAAAAAAGTTGGCGTGTAGTCTAGACCTCATTCGACACAACAGTTTCAAGGAGTGAAGCCGTGAGCGGTGGCTTGCTCCTAGAGATAGACGAAGGTTCTGTCGTTGACACGCTTGTCCACGACCACGTTGAGATGGGAAACTTGCTTGTTATTGCTGAGAGACGATCAGCAAAGGTCTGGGATGAAGTGGGGATCCAACTTCATCTCAGGGGGTACACAGAGTAGACAATTCTAAGGGGGTAGGGGTCAGAAGGGTATACCTCCTGACCGACCCGCATCCTATCAGAATAAGATGTGCCCTATTCATGCTAGCAGCCACACTCCTTAACACTAGCCCACCCTGAATATCATATATGCAGATTCTATACTCAAATCAATGCTCAAATCCTAGTCTAAAGCATAATTAAGATTTGAGCTGATGATTTATGATCATGAATCGAAGATATGACTCTTCACAAAACATCCAAAAGGAGGGTGAGTTGTAGAAATATCCCGAATCGATCCCCCACACCATCATTGAGATGAAGAATGCGAACGGTCACGAGACGGAACATCGACACCTCAATTACAACGCTTGAAGGGATAAAGCTACGAAGAATATGAATTGCGGCACAGCACGCTATCATCCTGAACAGGCGACGACAGGAAAAAAAATCAATATCCAGACGCCACACACCACTCTTTCACGCGCACCCGCGCGTATCACCGCTGGAGGAATGAGGGTGAGTACCCGAGCGAGTCCAAAGCACGGTGACGAAACTCAAAACCCAAACAAATTTCCGAACGAATACGGCCTTGATACTGGACGCGACGCAAAGGGAAAACTCAACGCAATCTAGGACGTTAACGAAGGGCAGGAGAAAAAGAACGACAGGCAAAGGCACGGAGAACGATGGCCAGCGTGCCAGGGTACCCAACCCGTATAAGGAGACGGCAGGGGCAAGACCTATTGAGGACCAAGGATGCAAAGCACAAGCGATTATTGCAAGAGAGGCGGTCGACGAACNAAAACTAAGACAACATTAGTTGGCAAACAGGCGAACCAGGAAAACACGAACTCGGTGTCCAAGTGTCCCGAGGCAAACATCACCGACGAAACTTGG